TGAGTTAACTATTAATATATATTATTTGTTATCAATAAATAATATATTGTGATAATGATTGATATATTATTATATATCAATAAATAATATATTAATAATGATTAATTATTATTAATTTGGATATTTATTAAAGATCATTAAAGTTATTGATTAATATCAATATTTCAGAAAGATATTTATCAATTTTTACAGATATAGTAATAATTCTTAATGAATATCTTTCCAAAAAATTTCCTAATGTTGATTAAATAATAGAAGCAAATAAAGTAAATAAATAAAGAATAAATAGTCAGATAAATAAATAAGATAAGTAAAGAGAAATAAATTAATAAATAAATAAATAAGTTATGCTAATGCATAATATAATATTACATTAAAAAACTTAAATAAAAAAATAATAAATAATTAAAATTTTATTATAGTAATAATATTTATTTAAATAAATAATAATAATTATTTAATATAATTATAAGTATTCTTAATTATTATTATATTATTGACTGTATTATATAACATGCTATATTACATCTATATTACTTAATACTTATTATGTTATTAACTGTATTATATAATATGCTATATTATATTACATATGCAAAATTAAAATATACTTACATAATTGGTAAGTTAAGATTTTCTATATTATATAATAAATATGATAGATATTAGATAAGTTATGCATTATTAATTTATCATATTTCTTCTTAAACTATCTATAATAGTTGATAATATAATGCTAATTCTAAAATATAAAGTTCATTAAATTTATACATATATTTAATAAATTTATATTATATTATTATATATACTTAAATTTTCTTACTAATTTCTTTAGCATATTTAACTTTTCTGATAGTATTTTATATTCATAATTCATAATAATATAATGCATACTTATTATCATAATTATATTCTGAAATAGATTTTTATTTGATTTTTAATAAATATTTATCATAACTTATATTACAGAAGATATTTTCTGTATAATAGATAGCTCAATATCTTTTTATTCTCATATAATTATAATTATTTATATTTTTTATTCATTTTTCAGTATATATTAATTAATTATAAGTGAAATAAATAGTAATATTAATTTTAGATATATAGCTTTTATAAAATTTATTATTCTTAGATCAATATGTTATTAACTTCCTAGCTTCAAGATATTTTTTACTTTTGATAGATAATAAATTATTCTTTTTAAAATATTGTAAGTGAAATCAAATTTGATTTATCTACTTACTAGAAGTTTTATTAGTATGAACTTGAGATATTTCTATATATTTATCTTATTTAGTATTAGTATAATTAGTTTTATATCTTTTACTTAAGCTAGTTATTTTATATAACCTATTTATAATACTTATAGGAGTTATATATGATTATATCATATTTAAAAATTTAGACTATTAAATTTAGTTCTTTATAATATAAGAATATATAATTTATTTTTAATATAGATTAGATTACTACTTTATAATAATTTAGAGTTGATTCTAAAGAATTTATTTATGATAATATTTATATATAAATTACTTATATACTATAAATATAATATGATTTATTAATATAGTATGATCTATTTTTGACATATTGCATAATCTATTTCAGATATATTACAAGTATATAATTAAATATTCATTAATCTCTAACTAATTTTCTGATATAATTTATTCAATTAGAATAATTAAAAAATATTAATAATTAGAAAATTATTAATTAATTACATCATATAGAAATTTATAGAATATGTATAATTATGTAACTATACTAATAATAATAATTAATTAGTAAAGAATATATATTACTCATAAAGTATATCAAAATATTATATATTAGATTGCCAAATTAGTAGAGTTAGAAAGTTAATATGTATCTTATTATTAATATTATTATTAATAGCTGATTTTATTATCTTAATTAATAAAAATATAAAAGAACTAATACTATAAAATATTTATATAAAGAATAACTGATAGATTAGTAAATTATATATTATAATTGCTATTAATTAATTAGTATAAAATTCTTTTTTCTCACAGATTTGAAAAAGATATATAATTATTTAGATAAGAATATATAATTAATAGTAATTATCTGACTTTGAGTGATAGAGTTATAAGAAAATAAAAATTAATATCATGATCAGAAAGATATTAAAAAAAGATATACTCATAAGATATACAAGAAACTAAGCTAATTTATCTTTATTTTACAAAATTAAGATATATTGATTATTTTTACTAGTTTTATAAGCTATTGATATAAAAATATATATTATCTTAGTGAACTGATTTCTAAGATACTGAGTAATCTACATTATGATTTTTATAATATGAAATCCACATAATTTTAAGCAAGTACTATAATACATAATTACAAAATTTTAATTATATCAGCTTTATTATTACTTAATAAAATTGAATTATAAATCATACAAATTTATCTAAATCTATTATTCCTGATTTTTTATTACTTGTCAATTTCATGCTGATTCAAATGATATTTCTATATATCATAATCAGATATAATTCTAGAAATATCAAAAAACAATTAAATGTAAAAATGAGTACTATACTAAAGAAGTAACAAAAAAATATTGCCAATCTATCCAAAATAATAAAATATCTTGATTATAATATTTGCAAAGTTTGAAATAGGGTCACAAAAAGTAATAATACTGAATTTGATATATCTTAAAATTATATTGATATTATTTTTGAACTGTGAGAAGAAATTGATGTATTATTTAATAAAAAAAAGTATATTGAAAAGTGATCTATAGCAAGACTATACCTCAAGATAGCTGAAGAAATTCAAACTTTTATTATTAATCATAAAAGAAGGATAGTGATTAGTAATATCATCATTAGAAATTTCCATAAAAAAATGACTAAAAATTTAAAAGAAGAGATATTGAATATATTAAAGTTATGAATATTGAAACAGAATGAGATGATAGATACTAAATTGAAAAATAAGGAAGAAATCATGATAGCTAATGTGAAGTAAGGAAAGAAGCTCTTATTTTATGGGTTAGAGCTTGAGATACGCCTCTCTCTTTGTTTTTACTTCACAAATAATTCTATAAGACTAGCCTTTATTACAGAGCAATAACCCTTTGAATCCATATTGTAACATAAAAAAATAACATTAAAATATATAATTATTATCAATAAAATTATCAATTAATTATTATTTTATTTCGTGTGATTAATTGAGATCATGATTGTAATTGTTTGAATGAGTTGGCAAGTCATGAGAGTTACAAGGTTTGTCTGACACACTTTCTAGCAAACTTTGTACAGCAATCATAACTTTCTTTTGATCAATATGAAAAGGACGGTTAAGAAAACAGTGATTATTTTTTTCTAGACAGCTCCAGTCATCCCATATTCCTAAACGAGTATGTACTTCTTCGCATATAGGGCATTTAGCTTCTGAATCAGTATATTTAAATACATCTTGATGCCATGTATTAGAATTGGTATATATCAAGAAAGGGAAGTGTTTATGTACTGCTCCATGGATTGTGCTTTTTTCTTCCGGAAACTTAGAAATTTTGAAAATACAGTCTCGTGAGATACAATTATCAGCATCTTCTTCGATTTGGGAGGATTTAGAAGCTTCAAAGTTTATCCAGGGATCGAGTGCAGATTTATTTAAATTATCGAGTTTAAAAATCACATGCGCGTTTCGTAACGCCGATCTTTGAATGGAAAATATAAATATTAGATCTTGTTTATACGTAGGGCAAAGCCCATGCCACATGGTGACGCCCTTCGGGTTGTCTTTTTATACATGTGTTAACAAATAATTACAATAAAGTTTGCAAAGTCTGTCTAAATCTTGAATAAGAAAGTATAAAACTAACTACGTAAGGAGTATGTACAGCATACTTCAGATGCTTTGCTGGTTTTTGCGTAATGCGACGCGTCGATCAATTTCGACGGCTATGTGTTAGCATATGATTGGTCGCAATACGCGCGAGACAATCAAATTTTGAAATATCCCAGACTGAAATATCGACTTCGGAACAAATATTTTCGTTTTGCACATTACACAAATGTCAAAGGAAATTGATATTACTGACAAACCGGGGTTTTCATACTTTATTAGCACGCCATGTGAAGAATGGGATGCACTAGAATATCATGAGAAATGGTGTGCGTCCAAACATCCCATTAACAAGGCAACGATCACGATAGCAATCACGCGACAGCTAGAATGGTTCATGAAGGAAGGATCAGAAGAAGAAAAGAAGGAAGCTAACAGAATGTTTAAGCAATTTAAAGTGTGTTACTTTTTTGCGTTGGAGGGCTAGTGCTGGTTTAGTTATGTAGGATTAGAGTGAGGGTTTAGGATGAATGGCTTCGAGTACGTGGCGGTTGTGGCAGGAATCACGAGGGAATACGTTCCGCCCGTGTATGGAATACGTTCCGCCCTGTCTCAACTGAGATTGAAGCTACCCACTGGAATACGTATCCGAGTGGCGATGGAATACGTTCCGCTGAAATCTTTCCATGAACTTGCAAAAGTTAGTTAACTATCATGAGCTAACCTTGTTTTTATTACTGTTAATTTTTTGTAGGAAGGTGTAAAAGCTGGTGGGTATATTGATGATTTTTGGATTAAAATGGATTTGGAGAGGAAAATAAACTTGCAAGAGATCAAGGTTTCTGCAGAAGTTCGTAAAATACAGGTAATGAAAATTGTTTCTTTTTAGCCTTTACCCGCACATCCTAAGGCTAAGCTTAATTTAAATTCTTTCTGTTTCCCATGCAATAGTCGGATAAATGCTTGATCATGGTAAAGGGTTTAACTTTATACTTCTAGATTTAGTGTTATCACTATACAAATATTATGTTTATGTAGAATAAGAGGTCTCTTGATGTCTTGAAAGAGACGGTAGTGGAACATAATGAAGCATCGGCATTATTGGCTGACTTTGCTCGTGACGGACAGGATGTCAGAAAAAGAAGGAAGCAGTATCACCAGTTGGATGGATATACCACTCCCTGCCCAGGTAGTCCAACGATACATCCATTGGAAGAAGAAAATCCATTCGTTGAGGAGGAGGAGGAGAAAGATATCATAATTGATGACATTCCATGTGAATTTTCTTTCAAAAATGGAGACCCAGTTGATGATTTACACGTGGGAGAGACTAATGTGTCTCTACTTTTTAGAAATTATCAGAATCAGTCGCTAAATATTGCAAGGGACAAGGGCTTATTTGTGGAATCAAATGTACAGGAAATATTATCGTTGTCGTCAATTTTATTACTTGCCTCGAATTCCTACTCCAATACAATGATTGATCACTTCGGATTGTCCTTGCTTGATGAAATTTATCAAAAATTTAAACCAGAGCAACAAATAGTATTAGATTCGAATTCCGAAACAACATTCCGAAAAGCAGTTAAAATGGCAATGGGTGGATCGCGTGATGATGCTATTATCTGGTTATGCGGAAAACTTTCAAGTGAGCAATCTTTAAGAGAGAATTTAGGTTTTATTATTCTGGACTGCTTGAGAGTGCTACCCTCTTCAAAAATTAGGAATGAGCACAGCGAAATCACACACTATACCAATTTCCTTGATCGCATTATGAAAGGATTCTTTGATGATCCCGATAAACACGTAGTACAATGGCCCAATACAGCTTTAAACGAAAGCAAGACAAGAAAAGCCGAAGGTCGCGCTAAACAACCAGATTTCACAACTTCCATAATTTGTCAATTACAAACTAGTGCCACCTTATTTGTGGGCGAAGTTAGCCCTCCATCAAAAAGAGGGGATGTATATAAAAATTGCAACGATCTTATTCGCCTGGGCGTGTTTATGAAAGATATCCTAGACTCATCTGTTGATAAAGGTGCTGATATAAAAGTGCTGGGCTTCCAGTGTGTTGGTAAGGAAATTAATATATTATTTACTCTTTTTCTTATGTTATTCTTTAATCACTTTTTGATCATTTATAGATTATAAAGTTGACTATTATACCATGGACCTTGTCCAAGGAATTTATATTATGATTCATATTGGTCAGATGTTGGTTCCAGCATCTTTAAAGGATATGTCATCTTTTGTAGATGATATAGAATTATCTTTAAGAGTACAAGATATTTTTCGCAAATCTTATGAAAATTTTTATCCCAAGCTTTGTAATCCGGGACCATTGACGAAAAAAGCAACATTCAAACGAGAAACCCTTTGTACTCCAAAGTTTCGACAGCTAGTAAGTAAGACACACGATGTTAATAGAGGCTGTCCATTTTGGTTTGGACGTTTCTAATATTTACATAAGAAATATTATATATATAACTATTGTGTTTGAGTGCACATCAGAAAAATAAAACAAATTTACACTGACTTCGAATTATTTACTTTTTACACATACACATAATTAGTGGATCATATCTTTATTATTTTTTTGTAAAGCGCAGAAATATATAAGGAAAGCTAAGTAAAATGATAGGGAAGCAGGATGTTTCAAGGGATGAATAAAGCATAAATGCCTGCCGGCCCCTAGACCCCTCGCAAAGCGAGAATGGCAGTTCCTTTCCCGCTACTCACTACCTAGGTTATTTGTTTTACTATCGATCCATAAACCAATTTGATCTAAAGTACTAATATAACCATATCCTTCTTTCTTTCATAAAACCCTTGTACTGTCATCTTAATATTCCCCCCAATGAACGAATGTCCATAGCTACAGAAAAGCACATCTCCTCCAAAGTATAATTATTTTCCGTCTTGATCCGATCAAAAATTTGCTTAAATTGACCCCATACGGTCAAGCTGATACCCGTAAACGTCAATTGTCCCGAGCTTGCAGAGGAATGATTTGAAGTTTGGCCTGCAGAATAGTTTGAAGCTTGACCTGCGGAATAGTTTGAAGTCTGACCGGCGGAATGGTTTGAAGCTTGACTCATCACGCTTTGTTGATCAAATTCAATCTCTTCGGTTCTTAGAACCATCGCATATCGCTGATTTATTTCACTTTAGAGAGTTACGATAGAAGCATTGATTGATTCGAATTCGGTTGCGACTCTACCAAAATTGTTATGGTAGTTTTGAAGAACTTGTTCGATCTCATCAAGTCTCACAGTAGAAGTATTCAAAATTATCAAGATTTTTTGGACCTCCGCTGTAAAGTTTTCATCGCGTGAAGTTCAGCGTTAAATTTGGCACGGTAATCGGTGAGTTCGGTTAAGAACCTGGCATCACGATTGGCAAGAATTTCATTAAATGTCGTATCACGTGCAGAAGGGTCGGAATTATGCTTGATGTCGATGTCTTGCGTGAAAAATAAAATGTGGCACCAATGAGCAAGTAAATGGAGATTTTCTCAATGAACATCGATAGGCCGGCGAAATCCAAAAATGGAGCGATCCCCGAAACAGCAAGTGATGTCATCTATAAGTGGAAATTGGTCGTATTAGCATACATACACGAATGCGGGGGATGTCATAGCATATAAACAAATAAACAAACCTTAATCGTTAGAAATTAGATACTATTTCGAGTGTATGAATCTTTTTATTTATCGTGGGTAAGATTTATTAGCAGCTAAGACTTGTTAAATGTTTTTTTCCCCAAATCGTTAATTATTACAACGAAGAAGTAAAGGGGGGGGGGGGGGGGTCTCAGATATTTTTTTCTCCGCCTTTTTATATAAAAAAATCACAGATCAGAATTTATAGACTTGGACGGGAAAGGACGAGAAATTGCCAGAACTTTTTATTGCAAATTAGACCCATAGGGTATGTAAGTACCTTTTTTTCAAAATAAGAATCATGGGTACCCCCCTCCGCTTTACGTGTTATGGTCCGTTGTGAAAATTTTGATACATCAGATAAATATTAATAAATTATTTTTTCAAAATAAAATTTTTAATTTGTTTTATTTAATTAAGTTATTAGGTATTGGGATTTATTTAAATATAAAAATTTTTATTATATATCTTTTATAAAAA